TCAGCCTCCCCCAGCTCTGTGGCAGGTTTATAGCCAGGCTAGCTTGAAATTTTGTTCTAAAAGACAGAGAGGCTCAAACTAAATAAATCCTCTGGTTTGTACCACAGAGGAAGGTGAGTTTGGAAGAGCAGAACAGTTCCCTTTGGCCTTATAATCTCATGAGTTGTTAGAGATAAGATTTATTACGTGTGGAATGGAATCGACTACTTCCCCAATAGTCCTTTCAACAGTAAATCTTAGCTCACTGCTCATATTGCTGCAGTTCTGCCTTTAAATCCAACCTTGCTGGGCAGATCCTGTGCATTTTTCTAGGAAATGTAGCATCCCATCAAGTTTGGGCTCTGTGTGTGTGCAAAACTCCACTCAACCAGTAATACTGGGTGTCCATAGGACTCCTGCAGGTCCCAAACCACATTCCTAGTCCCCCAAGCAACTCTCTTGCAGAGCCACATCACCTCCATTGCATTTTGAGTCAAAGTCCTGCTAAGGGGTCAGGGAGAGATTTTGAGTTGATGAGCATCTGTTAGTCACCAAAATGTGGGAACCACTGATGGTTCTGCTGGTGCAGAGCAGGATTCAGGGAAAACAACAATGTGTTGGAGACTGTAAAGCAGTTTTGGAGAGTCAGTTCTTCCCAGAGTGGTGTCCAAACAGCTGTTGTCTCTCAATGCCTTTCAAACAATGTCTCTCAAACCCAATGTGAGCAATTCTCCAGTCCTTAGGATCAGAGGATTCCAGCAAGGAAAGGGTGAAGCCAGGCCAACACCTTGCCTGGGCAACCGATGCCCCCTAAGAAGAATTAATCCTCCAAGTTGCTTTATTTTCCTTGCCTGAACCTCGGGAGAACAACTGAGGTGGGAAAGCCTTTTCCACTCGCAAGGAACACCCCGAACTCCTATGCATTGTTTTGTCTTACCCTTTTTTTCTCTTACTCTGGATGTGCCCAAGCTTTGGAGCTGCTTCCAGAGCTGGCTGGAGCCTCAGAGCCCTGCACACCTGTGTTGTTTCAGTGCACTGCCAACCCTTGTTTCCCGAAAGTCCAGTGCATTAACACCGTCCCCGGCTTCCGCTGCGATCCCTGCCCTCCTGGCTTCACTGGGCAAGTGCTCCAAGGGGTTGGGCTGGCATATGCCAGGGCCAACAGACAGGTAAGGCTCAGCAACAGTTCTGTGTCCTTCAGAAGCCAAACACTCTCTCCTGTCTGTGACTGGGCTTGAATTCTTCGCACAAACAGGAGGGAAGTACAAGGTGATGCTTCCTACAGGCGGAAGGAATTCCTCCCTGGGAGGGTGAGGAGATACTGGCACAGGTTGCCCAGATTGGTTGTGGTTGCTTCATCCCTGGAAGTGTTCCAGGTCAGGTTGGATGGAGCTCTGAGCAACCTGGAATAGTGGAAATTGTCCCTGCCCATGGCAGGAGTGGGACTGGATGGGCTTTAAGGTCCTTCCGACCACCAAATTGGCTGCGGCTGCTCCATCCCTGGAAGTGTTCCAGGCTGGGTTGGATGGAGCTCTGAGCAACCTGGGCTAGTGGAAATTGTCCCTGCCCATGGCAGGAGTGGGACTGGATGGGCTTTAAGGTCCTTCCAACCCAACCCATTCTGGGATGGTGTGATTCCATGTATTGGTGGGAGGTTGGGTGCAGGGAGAGAAGAGACGTGTCCAGGATGTCCTGTCACATCAGCCCCCAAACCACTCTCAGGCCTTACCTGTGCCAATCTGATGTTGGACAGAACATTCTGACACTGTGGCTGTGGATCCAGCCTGGGGAATCCTTCCTGCTAGGACACAGAAGAGTTCATGCAGCTACTGCCACCCCTCTCCCAGCTTCCCTGACAGCTCCAGACAGATTAAAGCCAACCCCCAACAGCCTGGGCTCGGTGGGTTAGAGGGATCCATTGCTCCAGGCAGGAGAGCACATGGCTCAGGTCATGGGACACAGCACTGACCTTCCTGCTCCACTGACCCTCTTCTGTCCTTCACACTAAGGAGCTATTGTGGCAGCTCAGCTCACAGCTAAGCTGTTTGCCCAGGCTCCAATCCGATGGCTTTGGAGAAGGGAAACAGTTTGCTCAAGGTCAGGAGTACTGCTGGGATCTGCCTCAAGCTTGTCAGGAGGAAAACTTACTAGCCTTGGGCTAGTAAGGTGTGTCAGGGCTTTGCTTCTGCACCTAGTGATGCCCAAGCTGTGGGATCTGCTGTGGTGGCTGCTCAAGAGTGAAGTTAATGTGTGTTTTGTTCCTCCTGGGCAGGTTTGCACTGACATCAATGAATGTGAGACAGGTGGTGCCAACAACTGTGTCCCAAACTCCATCTGCATCAATACAAGGGTAAAGACTTGGGGTCATGGAGATGCTTCAAGGGCTGGGGAACCTCTCCCATGGGGCCAAGCTGGGGGAGATGGGGATGTTCAGACTGGAGAGGAAAATCTCCAGGGAGAACTTAGAGCCCCTTCCAGTGCCTAAAGAGGCTCCAGGAGAGCTGCAGAGGGACTTGGGACAAGGGATGGAAGGACAGGACACAGGGAATGGCTTCCCACTGCCACAGGGCAGGACTAGATGGGATATTGGGAAGGAATTCCTCCCTGGGAGGGTGCTGAGGGGTTGGAATGGATTTCCCAGAGCAGCTGTGGCTGCTCCATCTCTGGGAGTGTTCTGTTCCAGGTTGGATGGGGCTTGGAGCAACCTGTCCTAGTAGAAGATGTCCCTGCCCATGGCAGGGGGTGGGATGGGATGAGCTTTCAGGTCACTCCAACCCAAACCATTCTGTGATTCCATGATTCTGTGATGTTACTGAGAAGCCTCGTGGATCTCTCCCAGGCTTTGGGACCTCTGTTAGCTGTGGCAATGCAGCTGCTGAGGAAAGGCTACAGCCAGGACTGGTGTTTCATTCCCTGTTCCTTTTTTTTTTTTTCCTGCAGGGATCCTACAAATGTGGAGCCTGCAAACCTGGGTTTGTGGGGGATCAGATCAGTGGCTGCAGGAGTCAGACAGCACGGCGCTGCCCCAACGGGGAGATCAGCCCCTGCCATGAGAAGGCAGAGTGCATCGTGGAGCGTGACGGCTCCCTGTCCTGCCAGGTCAGCTGGGCCCACCCTGTCAGTCCTGCCAGGTCAGCTGGGCCCACCCTCCAGCTGGGCTCTGGGCCCACCCTGTCTCTGGGCTCTGGGCCTAACCTCCTCTGTGACTGGAGTCTGGTCCAAATGCTCCTGTGATTGGAGTCTGGTACTAACCTCCTGAAACTGGGGTCTGGTCCTAACCTCCTCTGTGATTTGTGTCTGGTCCCACCTCCCATGATTGGGGTCTGGTCCTAACCTCCTGCAATTGGGGTCTAGTCCAACCCACCTTGCAACTGGGCTCTGGGCCCACTCTGTCACTGGGCTCTGGTCCTAACCTCCTCTGTGATTTGGGTCCCTGTGATTGAGGTCTGATCCCACCTCCCATGATTGGGGTCTGGTCCTAACCTCCTCTGTGATTTGTGTCTGGTCCAAATCTCCCTGTGATTTGTGTCTGGTCCCACCCCCATGACTCGGGTCTGGTTCTAACCTCCTGGAATTGGGGTCTGGTCCAAATCCCCCTGTAATTGGGATCTGGTCCCACCTCCCATGACTGGGGTCTAGTCCTAATCTCCTCCAATTGGGATCTGGTCCAAATCCTCCTGTGATTAAGGTCTGGTCCTAACAACCCCCATGACTGGGGTCTGGTCCTAACCTCTTCTGTGATTTGTGTCTGGTCCAAATCCCCCTGTGATTGGGATCTGGTCCCACCTCCCATGATTTGGGTCTGGTCCAAATCCCCCTGTGATTGGGATCTGGTCCCACCCTCCTGTGATTGGGATCTGATCCAAATCCCCCTGTGATTGGGGTCTGGTCCCACCGCCTGTGATTGGGATCAGGTCCTAAACTCTTTGCTGCTGGGTCTGGTCTCCACCTCCCCGGGACTGGAGTCTGGTCCAACCCTCCAGCGATTTGGGTCTGTTCTCTCCCGTTTCCCTCGCCCTGTGCTCTGTCTCCCGGGTCTGCCACTGCCCTCTCCTGGAGAATCTTCCTTCCCAAAACATCCCAGCTCTTCCTTACCACCTCAGCTCCAGCCACAGCTCTTCCAGTGCTCCCTGGAGGACTGGACTGCTCCTGGCACCTCCCATCCACTCCTGGTTGGTTGGGGATTGTTTTTGCCTGAAGCACTACAAGTTTGTCGGTCAGGGAAGATCACACACAGCTCTGCAGGAGAAACCTCTGTTCAGCAACCTCAGAGCCAAGTTTTGGGACTTCCTCTGCCTTTATACCCTGAGGAACAAGCAAAGAGCTTGGATCTGAGCTATTTCAAGTGCTGTTTACCCCAGCAAAGTTTCTTCCAGGCAATATTTTCCCTGTGGAGGTTTTTTCCCTGGATTTGCAATGTTTTGTGCTGGTTCCTCTGTAAAACCTTCACTTTTGGGAGGCACCCAGCCCCCAGGGGACTCAGCACAGCCTCCTTTTGTCTACCTCCTGCCTTGCAGTGCCTCGTGGGGTGGGCAGGGAATGGCTATGTCTGCGGGAAGGACACGGATATCGACGGAGTCCCCGACGAGAAGCAACGCTGCTCCGACAAGAACTGCCGCAAGGTAAGAGCAGCTGCTTGGAATTCCTCTGGGAATTGTGGGCAGTTCTGACCTGAGAGCAGGCCTGGGGTGCTGGTGAGACCCTGGAACAACATTCCCACCAGTTTGTGGCTTTCCTTGCAGGATAACTGCATGACTGTCCCCAACTCTGGCCAGGAGGACGCAGACAGGGATGGAATTGGAGATGCTTGTGATGATGATGCTGATGGAGATGGGATCCCAAACACTGAGGTTTGACTTCTGATGCTTCAAATCTGTCCCACAGAGCTCCTGCACTTTTAGTGTGGATTTGGAGGCCCCACAGGCCACAGCATGTGCTGTTTGCTTTTAGTCTGGATGCTCTGAAGAGTCTCTAAACAAGCAGCCAGGAGAGAACATCCTGACTGTGAAGGGACTTCACAAGTCCTGGTCCTCTGAGAGGGAGGGAGTCACTCACTAGATCACTTGTATCAGGTGTTTCGAGACACCTCCAGGTGCTGCTCTCTGAGCAGGTCACCAGGACAGAGCACAGCAACCATAAACCATTAAGGTTTAAACCTCTAAGCTCCTCAAGTCCAACCATTAACCTGACATTGCTCTAACCCTTAAACCATAGAATCATCAAGGCTGGAGGAGACCTCTAAGATCATCAAGTCCAACCATTAACCTTTCACTGCTCTAACCCTTAGACCATAGAATCATCAAGGCTGGAGGAGACCTCTAAGATCATCAAGTCCAACCACTAACCTGTCACTGTTGTAACCCCTAAACCAGATCCTCCAGTCCCAGATCCAGAGGCCTCTTCAACACCTCCAGGGCTGGTGACTCCACCATCTCCCTGGGCAATATTCCTGAACACCCTAACAGGGAAGAAATTCTTCCTACCATCTCCTCTGCCCTGTCTCAACTCGAGGCCATTCCCTCTGGTCTTCTCCCTGCAGCCCTGGCAGGACAGACATCCCTCAGCCTCTGTCCCCTGAGCCTGTCCCTGTCTCCCCAGGACAACTGTGTGTACACAAGGAACACAGACCAACGCAACATGGACAAGGACAACTTTGGGGATGCCTGTGACAACTGTCGCCAGGTGAAGAACAACGACCAGAAGGACATCGATGGGGATGGGAAGGGAGACGAGTGCGACGACGACATGGATGGAGATGGTAAGAGCAGCTGAGAGCAGAGGTGGTGCTGCCCCAAGACCCTCAGGGCAGCTCCAGCCTCCACAGAGCTCATTCCTACTGGGAATCCTGCTGGGGTGAAGCACAGCTCAGCACTTAAGGGGCCAAGCTGAGCAGTCCCAGGATCAGTTAGGCTGGAGAGGACCACGGAGGGTCACCTAATCCAACCTCCTTGCTCATCCTAGAGGCTGCTCAGTCCTGCATGAATGCAATCCCAGCCTGGAGCCATGTTCTCCAGGGCTTTAGCTTTCTCTCAGGAATGAGAATCATAGAATCATAGAACCAACTGGGTTGGAAGAGACCTCAAAGACCATCAAGTCCAACCCTACTGTGGTCACTAGCCCATGGCACTAAGTGCCACATCCAGTCTCACCTTGAAAACCTCCAGGGCAGCACATTCCAATGCCAAGATCAGGACATTTCCTCCCAGTTCACAGAATCCCAGACTGGTTTGGGTTGGAAAGACCTTAAAAATCATCTTGTTCCCACCTGTGCCATGGGCAGGAACACCTTCCACTAGCCCAGGATGCTCCAGTGTGGCTGGAGCAGTCACAGCTGCTCTGGGTAACCTGTGCCTGATGTTCCTCCAGCTGTTCCTCCTGCTCAGACACTCTGTGGTGCAGTCTGGGTGTGGTTTGAGACCTGCTTGGCTGTAACAACATGGGATGGACACAACTACTGAGATTGTTGCTTCATTCCATGACTCCAATCGTCCTGGATTTTTTGCCATTGTTGCCTTGATGAACCCACTCTGCCTGTTTTCCAGGGATCAGGAACCAAATGGATAACTGCAAGAGAGTTCCTAACCCTGACCAAAGAGATGGGGATGGGGATGGTGTAGGAGATGCGTGTGACAGCTGCCCAACCCTCAGCAACCCTGACCAGGTACAGGACCTGCCACCTCCAGTCCCATGGCTCACTCCTCTCCCTCAGTCACTGCTGGTGTCTCCTGCTTGGTGTGCACACCTGGGAGCTCACCCAGAGCACCACTGGCACTGCCAACCTGCAGCACAGAAGGTCAAACATCAGTCCAAGTTGCCCTCTGGACTTCTCCCTTCCTGCCCTGTCCTCCATGGCACTGCTGGAGCTCATCAGGGCAACCTGAAGCCCCACAGAAACTCTGCTCCTGCCCACAGCTCTCTCTGTTCTCTCTCTGGCTTGTTCCTCCTCCTCCTCCTCACTGATGGAAAATGTAAATGATTATCACTTTGTTTTACCAGAAAGATACTGATCACGACCTGGTGGGAGATGTCTGTGACACCAACCAGGACAGGTGAGACCTTGCTGCAAAAATGATATTTGTTTGCATGAAATCCTGGGGATGAAGGGAGAGGAAAAGGCTGTGACAACCTGGCTGGATTTATCCCATAAAAATATGGAAGTTGAGAGAGGTGGAACTTTCTTCAGGCCTCAAAAGCTGTGGCCAGTGGAGTAGGGATCACTCCCAGGCTGTTCACACACTCCAGAAGGAATTTTCCTGGTCTAGTTCTGGTGTGACTCGTAATTTAAGACTTCATTAGGCTCAAATCAACTCTTGCTGAGGATCCCAAGCCCTGGGAAGGTGCTGTGGGTAACCTTTACCTGTCCTTCTCTCCACCAGTGATGGGGATGGTCACCAGGACTCCAGGGACAACTGCCCAACAGTGCCCAACAGCTCCCAGGTGGACACGGACAACGATGGGCTGGGGGATGAGTGTGATGATGATGATGATGATGATGGGATTCCAGATGTGAAACCTCCAGGCCCTGACAACTGTCGCCTTGTCCCCAACCCTGGCCAAGAAGATGCAGATGGTAAGGGAAGTTCCTTGGGGGTTTCTCCACTCCTGGTGGCCACAGCAACTCAGATCTCCTCAGTCATGCCTTGAGCCAGTCCTGTGTCATCTTCACATCTCCACAGCCCTGACACCAGGGGCATATCTGGGAAACATTCTCTTGCAGAAGTGTCTATGGTTTGAGGAGTTTCTCTGTTCTCTGCCTGCAAGAGAAGCCTCTGAGGGTTCCTCAGTGCTCTGAGCACCTCCACATGTCACACCTTCACCTGTGCCCACCCAAAGCAAGGGGCAGGACAACCTACTGATGGCTCCTTCCTCCTCTTCTTGTGTGGTGCTGCAGGTGATGGTGTGGGGAACCTGTGTGAGAATGACTTTGACAGGGACATGGTGATCGACAGGATCGACGTGTGCCCCGAGAACGCCGAAGTGACACTCACAGACTTCAGGGCCTTCCAGACTGTGGTGCTGGACCCTGAGGGGGATGCACAGATTGATCCTAACTGGATTGTCCTCAACCAGGTAGGACAGAGCTCCAGCAGGGCCTGGTGGGTCTGTGGCCACCTGGATGCAGTTTTCCTTGGAAGACTCTTCAGTCTTCATACCATTCACCAGTGAATCCTGGAGTGAATCCTTGGGGCTCCTCATCACTGGCCAAGGGGCAAGTTGGTACCTTTGGAACTGTACTAACAAGTCAACATTCCTCTTTCTCAGGGCATGGAGATTGTCCAGACCATGAACAGTGATCCAGGCCTGGCTGTAGGTAAGGAATTCCTCTTTGTCCTGTTGGGAAATGGTATCTGAGTTTAGCTTTGTAAGGATTTCAGACACTACTTAGTGACTCCATCCACCTCCCGAGGAAATACTTCTTGTTGTAATTAGACCCTTCAGATTTCACTTAGCAAAATCCAATCTTCATGGGAATCCATAAAAAATCAGATTTCACTTAGCAAAATCCAATCTCCATGGGAATCCATTAAAACCAAATGGATCTATGTTGCCTTGGAATGCAGTGTGTTGTTTTCCCACAGGTTACACAGCATTCAATGGAGTGGACTTTGAGGGCACATTCCATGTCAACACAGCCACGGATGATGACTATGCAGGATTCATCTTTGGCTACCAAGACAGCTCCAGCTTCTACGTGGTCATGTGGAAACAGATGGAACAAACCTATTGGCAGGCAAATCCCTTCCGAGCCGTGGCAGAACCTGGAATTCAACTGAAGGTAAGGAAACCATGGAAAAAAGAATTCCCTAAGGGATTTCCCCCTCATTTCACAGTGGGATAAGCAGCTGTAGGAAATCAATCCTTGATCCACACACTGACCAGGCTCTTCTCTGTCCCAGGCAGTGAAGTCCAAGACTGGCCCAGGGGAATATCTGCGGAATTCCCTCTGGCACACAGGAGACACCACGGACCAGGTCAAACTGCTCTGGAAGGATCCAAGGAATTCTGGCTGGAAGGACAAGACCTCCTATCGCTGGTTCCTGCAGCACAGGCCTCAGGTTGGGTACATCAGGTGAGAGGTCTTTGCAGGGCTGAGGGAACACAAAAGCAGCAACTCAAGGAGGGACTCGGTGTCCTCAGCGTGGCCTGAGGAACAGGTTCCATGAGGAAACTCAGTGTCATGGAATCCCAGGATGGTTTGGGTTGGGAGGGACTTTAAGGATCATCCAGTCTCACCCCCTGCCATGGACAGGGACACCTTCTACTAGGACAGGTTGCTCCAAACCCAATCCAGCCTGGCCTGGAACACTCCCAGGGATGGAGCAGCCACAGCTGCTCTGGGAATTCCATCTCAGCCTCTCACCACCCTCACAGGGAGGAATTCCTTCCCAATATCCCATCCATCCCTGCTCTCTGGCAGGGTGAAGCCATTCCCTGTGTCCTGTCCCTCCATCCCTTGTCCCAAGTCTCTCTGCAGCTCTCCTGGAGTTCTTTGAGGCACTGGAAGGTCTCCCTAGAGACAGCCTGGCCAGGAACACTCTGAGGGATGGGCCAGCCTGGAGATGTGTCCTGCTCACACCAACACACACTTGTTCTCCCCCAGAGCTCGTTTCTACGAAGGTCCTGAGGTTGTAGCAGACACTGGAGTTGTCCTGGACACAACCATGAGAGGAGGACGCCTTGGGGTCTTCTGCTTCTCCCAGGAGAACATCATCTGGTCCAACCTGCGCTATCGCTGCAACGGTGAGTCCCTTCTCCCCAGGAAACCACAGGATGGGGCAGCTCAGTCTGCTTTTCACTCCTCTCCCTCCTCCTGATCTCTGTTCTCTTCCCTCTCCTCCTCAGACACCAT